GTGATTGATGCATCAGGCCAGGGCCAGTGTCTTATTTACACAGTTGAGTGGGGCAATCTCAGGCCTGAAAGATAAACCTAATGAGCTTCTTTGTGTAAGGGTGCAAATGAGAGACACCATCCTCCCTCCCTCCTTCCCTTTTCCATCCAAAGGGACAGTCTGGGTGATTAGGCCTTTAAATTATGCTCAAGGGCAAAGCCCAGATTTGCATCTTAGGTGTGTGTGTGTGTGTGTGTGTGTGTTCTCCAATAGTGAGAGACAGACAGAGAGGCAGGTGAAGGGCAGAGGGAGAGAGAGATGCTTGAGGCTTGTTTGTGGGAAGTGATGGGAGGTGAACACTGTGTGTGTCAGTATTTTACAGTGTGTGTATTCACCTAAACTAAACAACAAACTTGAGTTGTTGTAAGAGGGAGGTGAGCTCACATGTCTTTCAAATGAGTGCACACACACACATTCATTCACACACACACACACACACACACACACACACACACACACACACTGTCATTTTGTCCTTTGTCTGTGGGGTAACTTTCTCCCTAATGACTTTCATTTTGGGGAAAATTTCATTTGCCCCTAAACCCTAAATATTACCCATCACTTGCTGTCAGATTTCTCATCCTTTATATTTCCTCCAGCTAAACAGCTAGGAAGGCAGGTTAATTGCTGTCACTCTCAAGTTGGACCACTGCCTGGCTCCCGTGTAGCGACAGGGGTAGCCTAGAAGAAAGATGGCACCTTGGCGCACTTATTGTAATTCCTGTCAAAATGCTGCAGTCATTTAAATGGGGTTGGATAGTTTGCATTTTGCTGCATCATGTGCATCTGGAAAACACTAAAATGCACACTTAACCAGTTTACCGACATGTAGATCTCTGCTACAGTCTCTTATACACTGCATTTCTGTGCAAAAGTAAACAAATATTTGTCCTAACAAACAAGGAAAGAATGAATTTCACATAAAAAAAATAAATAAATAAAAAGCAACCACAAGGCTTTTTTTTGTTGATGTTTGTTAATAACAGGAAGCCAATATTTTCCAAATATGTCTGGATTTAATGAGTTAGTCGTCTGGATGAGTAGTAGGCTGCAGTAACAGAAGGTTGTCCCCACAGCTTTCCAAAGGTCTTTGGTTAAAACGACTGCCCTGACCACAATACATAAGCCAAGGTCTCCATCTTGCTCTGAATATCAATACACTTCCTACAGCAGTGAGCCCATTTAGAGGGGCAGTAGTCCTGAGTATTGGCTCATCAATCCCACTGATAACCCTGGCAGGATTAAGTCTACAGACCACTGTAATCAACTAACAGGCTCATTATGGACATTATGGTATAGATCCAAAGATCAATGCATGACTCCCATGTACATACATAGCAGCATATAGTATTAAAACACAGAACTTACTGGGGCCAATGATAAATTGATTGGTAATATAAGCTCAGCACATTTTTTTGCTCTTTTTTTTTTAACAAGGGAGCTTTTATAGTGATCATCTTAGCATAGTAATTAGGGTTGTGCAACATTCATCATTTGCTCTGATACATATCTGCAGCTGGCAAATTGCAATCAGATACAGTGGGTATCTAATCTGTGATCTCAAATCAAATTAGGTCTATTTAGACAACCTTGGGAATGGGGTGATGAAACCCTGACAGAAATTAGGGGCTGGAAATTCAATTGTGACACAAGGGTTATTATTCAGATACATGGATAGCGGAGTGTGTGACTTTCACATTGGAATTGATACAAATTATAACTAGGATATTGCGATCAAATAAAAACAAGTGCATTATTTGTTTAGTTTAACTATCAATATTTGAATATGGAAAGAATTTCTCCTGTGTAACTTAGTCTTGATCTGTGTCCTAAAAGCCTCTGGCCAAATCTAAGGCGAAGAGACCTTAAGATGCTGCTTTTCTAATTATAGCTGCAGGTGGTATTTTGGAGCTGCTAGGTAATGGCACAACCCACAGGGACAGTGGAGAATTCATCAGTGCTTATTATTAATCATCCCCCCAGCAGCATGATGAGAGACTGGAGCTTCTATACCCACCGGACCACTCAATGTCATTCCAAATATGGGTGGAAAATTAAACCCAACAGCCTTCCTTCAGAATGGACTCAGAGCAGACATGGACTGGAAATTTTTACTGCACACAGGTGCAAAAAAAAAAAGAAGAAAAAAAAAAAAAAAATTATACAGGCATGTATGAATGCATGCATATATGACCGAACCATATATATGCTTCGTACACACACATGACAGCTGCGATTCACTTACACACACCTGCCAACATCGCTGTCACCTTCTACAGATGAACACGCAAGCAGCTGCAAAGCAGCAAAGCTCTGTGCTGACAAATGTATTTAAAAAAAAAAAGAAAAAAAAAAAGTCATCTTTCGTCTTCTTCCTCGGACTCTTTCTGCAAAGAGATGCGGCGTGAGTGCACCGCAGGAAGTGTGTGTGAAGTTAACAGCACAGGGCCCCTGTTTTAAAAAGCCTCCAGAGACCTGTTAGCTGGACTGCTCATTTCAATGTGTCTGTCTCTGGGTTGGGAGAAGGCTTGGGCTGGCCTCTTTACAAGGTGCACACTGTCATACACCCCACCCACCCTCCCCACCCACCACTACCACGGGCTCTTAGCCATACGTCCATCTCAGAGACTTAACTAGACACTTTACATGGCTTTTCTCTCTGAGTGCTGTGGCCTTCTTTTTTTTTTCTTTTCTTTTTTTTTTTTTTTTTTTTTAAACGGCAGTGCTTTCATTGTTTTTCGATCACTTACTGAGTTTACATTTACACAGACAAACACACACACACACACACAGACACACACGCTTTTCTCTACATATTTCAATTAGACTGATCTCAGTAATTTAGTCTCATATTAGATTTTTTAAATCTGTTGCTCAGATCTAGGCAATTGTCAATAAAATAAAGGTAACAAACATTTCTCAGTTGTCTTAAAGCTCTTTCTTGTTTATATATATATATATATATATTTAACTTTACAATAGATTAAATTAAATTGTGTTGAAAATTACTCAATATCTAAAATAAAAATGCTCAAAAGATTTTTTACCAAATTCCTTGTGCAACCCTTTTGAAGACAACAGTCATATGAATGTTCTGTTGAGCAACTCACAGTGAGGTTCTGTGCCACAACAGTTTAACAGTGTCTTTGTCCTGCTCTCTATCTCTGTCTGTTTTACCCTCTATCTGCAGAGTATCAGCGTAGATACACCTTCAAATGTAAAAGAGTGATGACTGAGAGAGGGAGAGAATCGACCCCAATCAGGTGGGTGGGTGTGTGTGTGTCTGTGTCTGTGTGTGTGTGCGCGTGTGTGTGTGTGGCAGAGTGGTGATAAATGGGGGTTGAGGCCACAGTACTATGATGCCGCTTCAGCCACCAGCAGGACATACTGGTGCTGTGCTGTGGATGGAGGGTGGGTGGGTGTTGGGAGGGGATCAGGGTATGGGGGATGGAAGAAGTGATGGTGGGGGGTGCAGGGGGGGCTGCAGGACATGCTTCATTTTGCTACACTGAATACCCCCACCTCTGCATACACACACACACACACACACACACCAGCATCTATCGTATTCCCCCGACAAAAACTGACCACAGGGCTTCAGCTGGTGCCAAAAATACACACAAGCATAAACACACACAACTATACGCTTGCATGAAAATTCCCATCTAGCCGAAAGGACAGCACGCATCATTACAAACCCGCGGAGTTGTCCCCCGTCCACCCCAAAGCGCGGCCCTCCGACCTCATCTCCCACTGCTCTTTTGGCAAACTGTCAAAGCCATCATTCACCGTGAAAAGACACGAGAGACACTTGACTCCTTTACTCTGCTGGCGACTGACTTTCACAACTCCTGCCCCCCAGCAACCCCCGCCCCCACCGTAGTTCATTCACCCTCAACTTGCTCGGACTGAGGAGAATAGAGTCAGTACAACAAAACGTGAATTTGACGAAGGAAACGTTTAAGAGACTGAAAACAGAGCGTCAGATATTTGTGGTTAGTTAGTGGTGCCTCCAAACAGAACAAGTCACTATAATCAATACAGTAATTAACCAACAGGGAGGGAACAATATTATCAAGTCGGTCAGAGAGGAAAGTGGGGTGAAAAAATCTAAATTATTTTCTAGATGGGCAGAAAGTGAGATGGAGAGACTGTGTGCAAATCAGTCTTTCAAAAGTGACACGGTCAAAGGTTCCTGTCGCTGGTGGGTCTGTGGTTAGAGCATCTGTGTCTGTGTGTGAGCCTCTAACTAGTGCCGAATTAGGAGGCCCTCTGGTGGATACAGCACTGCCATGACAGACAGACACACACACACACACACACACACACACACACACACACACACACACACACACACACACACACACAACCCAAACGCGTCCGTACTATGCTCCAACACACACATTCTTTCCCTTTCTCTGTCTCTCTCTCTCTCTTGTGCAGTCTCACACACACTCTTACATGCGCACACACACACAGACACACACGTATACACACTTTCTAACTCTTTCACATGGCTGCAGAGAGCTCTCTATAAATATAAACTGAAATGCCAACGCAAAAAACACAACAAAATCCATAACCAAGTAAAACTGTCACTGCAAAACATTTTCATCACTCTGCAGGCAACAGCTTCAGGCAAAACGTGCCGACAGCACAACAAACTAACGAGAAAATTCACCAATAATATAAACAGCCGATTATATAAACAATGTTTTTTTTTTCCATCTGCTAAACAACACACACACACAAAAATACAAAACAAAAAAAAGAAAATACAACATAATGTTTCATTGTGCCTCCTGCCTATGTAGAAAACCCCAGCGCTGCCTGAGAAGAGCAGAGCAGAGTGGGAGAGCGAGGGGAAAACAGAGTGTGTGAGAGCGAGAGAGAGAGAGAGAGAGAGAGAGAGAGAGAGAGAGAGCGGCAGAGAGACGAGACGGGGGAGAAACACAACTTACCTGCTGTTGTTGCAGATGCAGCAGCTCGACTGTGCTTACTTCGCTGCTCGTGTCACCAGCGCTTGATCTCCCATCTCTACTGCCAGCCTCTAATTGGCTGCTGCTTAGGGTGCTCATTCCATTTTGACTCATTGAACTGTTGCTTATTGTCTCTGTGGCCGACTCCTGCATCATCATGATTTAAAACCTAGAAGTGATTAAGAGGCACCGGTTAGGGCTCTTCTTGTTACAATTCCCCCCTTCTTCCCTCCTATTTTTTTTTTTTTTTATGCTTCCATTATCAAGCCCTCAGTCCCCCTCTGCAAATTAAAGCATTTAAAGAAGAGGGAGGGGGGAAAGGAGAAGGGGGGGATGCAGGAGGAGCAATTATGCATTCATTGTGTAAATGAAGCAATACAAAGAGATGCACGTCCTGGTGCTATTTGAAATGGGAGGGGTTCCTAAATATGGCAAATGTTTTTATCTACTAAAATTTGGGCATGAATCATCAAAGCATCTGGCTTTACAAATTAAAGTTGTATTTTTATTTTCATTCCTATTTTTTTTTTTATAAAAATACATTTGCAAGAAATAAAAACAAAAAGAAAATGCTTAAACAAATATGTGATTCATGAACGAGCATATGCTTTCTTAATATCTCCATTACACTTTCAGACATCCAGGCACCACAGTCAGAGAAACAGAAGCGCGGGCACTCCTAAAAAATCTGACGTCTTGAAGCTGTCAGATTTTTAGTGTCGCATCTGTATGAAGTTGCCTAATGACGCAAAGCTAATCATGCAAAATTAAAATTTGGTGATGGGGGGAGGGCGGGTGGGGGAGAGGAGCAGGAGGGGGAGGCACCAAATCACATGGTGCAGGGCTTGTGATGAACACTATAATGGGTTTGTCATCTTTGCTGTGGCTAAATAAAATCTGCCTCGCAGGCTTCCATAGAGGCAGGATGCTCATGTGTCATTTATTGCCTCGATTCCTTTTTTTTTCCCCCTTTTCTTCTTTAATCAAACCTCATATATTCTTTTATTTTGTTATATTTAGGAGAAAAAAAAAATCCACTGCTGCTCTCAACAGGACACAATTAAACCAGATGTTGAGCTGCCATCAAACTTTGTGCTGGGAGAATTTAGAATCCCAGGCAAAAATTTTTAAACAACAGTAAATAAATATACGATATGGAATTAATTCTGTTGTATTTATTAGATATGGAAAACTGGTGAGAGATAGAGAAAAAAGGAGGGAAGAAAAAGGGGAAAAAAATCTATCACGAATATCACTAATGATTGTGCTAAAAACAGCATAAATTATGCATATTACCTCCTCTCTCTCCAGTAATAAATGTTTTATCATTTTCCCCTGCATTTAATGCTCTGTACCTTCGGTGGGGCAGAGAGGAGCCCCACCAACATCAGTCGACAGTCTCACAATAAATAAGACACTCAGACCCAACACACGGCAACTCAAAAAGCACCACAGAAGTATGGGTTTTGTGCTGTCTCTATTAGGAAAATAATTATTTTTATTATTTAAAATAAAAATTTGAGGCCATTCACATTTTAAATGCTAAAAAAATACTGCTACTATCACGACCTTATGGAGGAAGTTTGCTTTCAAAAGCTGTGAAGCACGTCGTTATTTCCATTCCTATTTCAACAGCAGTTTTCACTTTTCATTTTGACAATACAAAATTTATTTTTTTTAAACATATGCAAGAGCAACCCTAATGCAAGATAATCCACGCACATGCAACAAAAGAGGGACAGATGATGATTATGACTGTGTATGTGTATGTGTGTGTGTGTATGTGTACGTGTGTGTGTGTGCGCGTGTGTGTGTGTGTGTGTGTGTGTGTGTGTGTGTTGTTGTATACATTTGTACCCAGGCCACATGGGTATCATGTGTATTCTTTGGCCAGTTTTAATAGAAGTGTGTGCATATCCTTCATTGTGTGTGTGTGTGTGTGTGTGTGTGTGTGTGTGTGTGTGTGTGTGTGTGTGTGTGTGTGTGTTTGACGAGGGGCAGATACAGGACAGGCCTTAAAGGATGTCTACAGCCAGGATAAACAGGATCCAGGCAGGGAGAACAAACAGGGCTGAGCAGTTACACAGAGCAGGGCGACAGCTGCCCGGGACACAAGTAAATAGGGAAGAGGCCAGGACAAGGCGTGCTTGTGAACAAACAGGCCCCTGTTTAACACCACACCGCTCACTACTGATGGAGAGAGACACAGAAAAAAGACAGAGAGAAAGAGAGAGAGAGAGAGAGAGGAGCAGAGAGGGTGGAGGGTAGCGGAGAGGAAAAGGAAGAGAATAGGAGTGAAAGAGAGAGAAAGGGAGAGTGAGTGGGAGGGAGGAAGGTGGTGGTTTTGTGTGTTAGTGTGTGTGTGTGTGTGTGTGGGGTGGGTGGGGGGGGAGACTGGCACAATGTGACATCCAATCCGGTGATGAATCTCAGCATAAGAAACTCAAGGCTGCAGCCGAGATCAGCCGGCTAATAAGTATTCAAATTAGGCATAAATTTTACATGCCCAATGTTTAAAATATTCAGAGAAAGACTGTCTGATTGCCTTTACTACGATTTTATGAACATTCTAATGGAGCCTGGATCTCTCCTTTTTTTTTTTTTTTTGCTTTCTTTCTTGGACCAGCGATGGATGTTCAGAAAACTTGAAGATATATGAGAAAAGGAAATAAGGGTTTTTTAATAAGATCTGAATCCAATGCAAACTACAGTGGAAGTCCAAGGAAAATTGCTACTTTGATATTAACAAACCAATGAAATTTGCTTTTAATGTGCTTATATGTGATTACTGATGTATAAAACATTAATATCATATAAAGAAAATGTAAGAAAAAAAATTAAATAAATCACACAACATAGCTTAAGTCAAGAAAAAAAAGAGAAGCATAATTAGAATTTCTTACACAAACAATAAAAGCTGAATGTCCAGTTTAGTTTGCTATAATCTTCCCTCCCTCCTCCAAAATAAAACCGGTGCAATATGTCTAACTGCAACATAATGACAATGCAGATATATGCAAAGTATATTCGCAGAGATCAGATGGTGCTTTAACCTTAATGACAGCAGTGAGATAAATTAATTAGCCATCTAAAGGCGGCATTCAAATCTGCCAATTAGAATGTCAATTAGAAACACAGCCAGGCTGCAATGATGAGCGGCGACCGAGCTGCGGCTCTGACTGTGGGGGAGATGGAACTGTCACAGATCGAGACGCGCACATATACATACACATGCACACACTCAATACTCAAGAGAGACAGACAGTGACAATATTCAGCACCTGAGGGTGTGACTGTATGCGAGTGTGTGTCTACATTTGTGTGTGTGTGTGCCTACCACAGGTTCTCCATGCCCTGTCCCCTCTCTCCCTGAGGGGTACCAGCCCTGACCCTGGCTCAGCCTGTCCTAAACCAACTGGGTCGGAAGGAGCCACGCCACCTTGAGCTACAGTATCGACTGGGGCCCTGGCTCTGATCTGCGCCGGTGCAGGCAGCTTTAATGCCGCATGAGTGAGGCTCGCCGGCTCGTCCGCACGTGTGTTTGACATCCCATAAATTGCCGGTGTCCTGCATTTCAACACACCCGCTGTTTGATGCTATTTCCTCAAGCCACAATCTTCCAATGAGGGAGAACCTAGACTACTTATTATCATGATCGGAAACAGAGAGGAGGGCTGTCATTGCCCTGGTAATACGCTGGTAATTCTCTAGATGTATAGCTTTGGGATGGAAGATGATAGTGATACTAAGTGTTTAGGTGGAACGATGGTGAGAGACGGAGATAACTCTCTCGTCAACAGTCGCTGATGGCTCCAACATTTCTCCTCAGGTGGAGGCTCAGTAAGACACAGACAGACACTTTATTTGCAAAGCTTCAGACCAACTCCAGCTTTTGTCTCATTCCTTGTGCAACCATACCCTTGCTTGCTATTCCTCTTCAGCTTGAGCAAATGTTTACACTTGAATCTCACACTACGCAAATCTGTCTCTTCCATCAGGTACGGAATCTGAGAATGGGTCCTGACGACGCATTTGGCCCAGAGATTGGGAGAATTTCTCCTCTTTCTTCCGAGAAATGACACAACAAAGGTGTAAGGAGAATTGAGCCTTTCATTGCCTCTCTCTCTCTCACACACACACACACACACACTCGCTCTCTCTTTCTCGCACACACATACACACCAAACACACACCTATCATTAAAGGGGAAAGAAGCAGCCCTCCATCTTTGTTTGCGAGCTCTAAAAGCCCTTAATGTAGCCTCATTACCTGGCCTGTCTCCCGCTCTATCATGTGCAGTAAACACACACTATGACACTGGCCATCCATCTAGTGGGAATACACAGCTGTCTGCTGTGCTCCAACACTGTCTAGGGAACACTTGGGAATTTAACACACACTCTCACACACACGCACGATACGTTGTTAACACACAACGGGCTTGACACTGGTTTCGTTCAGAGTCTCTGGGCTATCCATTTTCAGCGTGAGGATGTTCTCCGCTGTGTCTCCATCTAGAACAATGATCCATTCCCTCATCTTATATGCATGAGTTGCAAAAAATATTTTCATTAGGATGACAAAAAAGGAAACGGGGGGAAAAAAAGTGACCGGTAAATCTGTGATCCCAGACGTCCATTCATTATCAGCTCACATTTCAGGTGGCTGGCTGGAATTCTTTTGGTTTGTGAGATCAAAATAAAAAAAATAATAATAGAAATTACATTTCACAGTCTGCTGACTCCTCACAGCTCTCTGATCAAGTCGAGATATGGTTACCATTTAAAATAATCACAGATTCTGTGCTTGAGTGAAATTAATTCATCATTGCCATAAGTTGCTATGCATACAAAATAAAGAAGTAACTGGGCAAGGGCAAGGGCTCACATATTCAATACTTCAGATTGCTTAATAAATCAAAATGCCATGTATGTGCTGACTATAAAAATGGTGCTTAAAACCACCGTATTTTAAAGTGATAAATTTAATCTAAGATCAAATAATGAAGGGTAAAAAAAAAAAAGTTTAAAATAACTTCATCAGAAGCCTTGCAGACATTTATACAAGGGAGACCATAAATTTATGCCTTCAACAAATCTTTGATTATGATCATATGTTTGTTTGTACTAGGGTGTGTACTGTCATTTTTTCTGGTAGCG